CGTTTTCATCTCTCTTTACACTCCATGTTCTTCCTATTTATCTTCTCTTATCTCTTCGTACTCATTTTTGGTTCTCTTCATTCTTTCTTATTCCTGTATTTCTCTTATTTTTTTATCTTCATTATTTATTTATTTATGTTTATATTCCCTTCTTTATTGTTTGTTATCTATTTTTCCATATTTTGTTCTCTTTCTTTCCTTCCATCATTCTACTACTATTATCACCTCTCCATCACCATCCAATTATTATTATCACCTCCTTCATCACATCATCTTCGTTCATTTCTCCATCTCCTGAATTTATCCACGTCCCATCTCGCCTTGGAGGTATCAGCGTGAGAAACTAAATAAGATAAATCCACGCGTTTGAGGGCATTCCGTGCGTCGATTGGTTCTTACCCACCACGACGTCTGCTAGTGATCCTATCATTACTGGGTTAGGTTAGGTTAGGTTAGGTGGGGAATAGTGTTGTGGAGGAAGGGGAAGAAGGGGAGAAGGGGGAGGAAAGGGAGAGGGAAGAAGGGTACCAGTAGACGTCATAGTGACAAGGACGACCAATCAACACACCATGCCCACACACGCGTAGATTCTGCACAAAGGAGGAAGGAGGTAGGAGGAGGGGGAGGGAAGGAGGGGAGGGGGAGGAGGGGGGGGTAGGTCTCTCACACACCATTAGCGACGAGGTCATCATACTATTGTCGTTGTTGTCGTAGTATTCAGGAAAACGACAGATTCACTGGAGAGAGAGAGAGAGAGAGAGAGAGAGAGAGAGAGAGAGAGGAGGGGAGAGAGAGTACCTTTGAGCCTCGTGGTAAAATTAATGCCCCATGTTAGATTTGTTTTACCTGATGCACACCTGTTGTTCTCTGCGGGTTTTACATACCTGAGGTGAACAGGTGGGTAAGGGGGAAGAGATGGGTAGGTGGGCAGGGAAAGAACCCAAGACCTGGTTAGACTAGTTTTAACAAGGGAATAGTGAAGATGAAACAAGCATGGAGTAACCTTCCCAACTCTCTTCTACCTGTAAGATTAGATTAGGTCAGGTCAGGTCAGGCAAGGTTAGATTAGGTTAGGTTAGGTCAGGCAAGGTTAGATTAGGTTAGGTTAGGTCAGGTCAGGCAAGGTTAGATTAGGTTAGGTTAGAGAGAGTGGTAACAAGGCCGACACACACACACACACACACACACACACACACACACACACACACACACACACACACACACACACACACACACTCATTCACAAGGGCCTCCGATCTGTACCCAATGACCTACGCTCTCTCTCTCTCTCTCTCTCTCTCCCTAACCTAACCTAACCATGAAACACTGGCTAACGTCACAGTAACAAAGAACCAATCAACGCACATTTTGGTCAAAGGCATAGTAAGCCAATCAGAGAACGGCATATCCATTAGGAATAACCAATCACCACACGCTATGCCCAGAGAGAGAGAGAGAGAGAGAGAGAGAGAGGAGAGATGGACAGGTAATATGCATCAACAGCCTTCACACAGGAGAAAGGACGGACTGGCCTCCTCACCTGGCCAGAGTCACTTCACTTGCTTCAATTATAACCAAAATTCACTATAACCGCGACATCACCCAATTATTATCAGTATTATTTTTTCTTTTTTTATTATATCACTACCGTATTATTATTGTCATTATTATATTATTATTATTATTATTGTTATTATTATATTATTATTATTATTATTATTATTATTATTATTATTATTATTATTATTATTGTTATCCACAATGACAGGTTAATTAGACTATCAGGTACACGAGTCATTGCCACTAACACCTTTCACTCGTACCTGTGATAGTAAACAGTGTATAAAGGTTAATACAGGTAACATTAATTAAAGGTGTGTATCAAGGTGTAGCCATTGTCTCATACATACATACTCAACCTGAATTACTTAATGAAGGTAAATATTTGTTCTGAGGATCAAATATTGAGAATAATGGTGTGTGTGTGTGTGTGTGTGTGTGTGTGTGTGTGTGTGCGAAAATAAACGTCATAAGAACATAAAATAAGAACATAAGAATGGAGGAACTGCCACTGGCCCATACTGGCAGTCCTATTTACACCCAACCCCTATGCTCATATATCACCAACCTAACCTGGGTTTGAAGCTACCCAGCGTATTCGAGTATGATGATATTTGTAACTTGTTCCATTCATCCACTACTCTATTTCCAAACCAGTGTTTACCTATCTCACGCCTAAATCTAAATTTGACTTTAAAAACTATTACGGAGTTCGCTCCTGGTTGGATAGTTAGAGTACCTTGTTATGTCCCCTGTTTAGCCCTGACTTCCATTTATACACCTCGATCATATCGCCCCTCACTCTACGTCTCTCGAGGGAGTGCAGATAGATGCTTTAACCTGTCGCTGTACTCAAGGTTCCTAATGCCCGGGATTAGTCTTGTCATTCTCCTCTGAATTCTTTCTAAAGATTCTATATCCACTCTGTAATACGGTGACC